AAACTTGGATACGAGACTGAACGTATAGCCGTCTTAGTCCGTCTGGAGATGTTAAATGTGACTCCGTCCGGGGTGAAAGACTTAGCATCGCAGTCCAGGGCCCGAACATCCGAGACCCGCTTGCACGAAATGAGGCAGAACAGGGAAACCAATTTGGCCGACCGCTGTCCCAGGGTGAGGTCTGAATTTGGAGGCCAGGAAGTAAACAGAGACAGGACGCAGCAGACGTCCCATGTAGCCATGTATCGAGGCCTGGGGGCACGCGACAGGCGTGAACCCCGAAGAAGGCGGCACACCAAGGCCTGCAAGACAGCCATCGAAACCTTGGTGAGCCGAAGAGATGGCTGATCTATAAAGATTAATCGTGCGATATGCCCGACCAGCTTTGAATAGTGAAGTGAGGAACTGGAGTATCGCCGTCACAGGTGCCGAAACGGGATCCAAGTCCCGAGCCAGGCACCAGCCAGTCCAAGCTCTCCAACCGGTCCCATATGATCGTCTAGTGCCGGGAGCCCATGCATCTGCCAGGAGGCATTGAGTTGCATCTGAAACACGTTGGATTTCCCAGGGGCCCCAGAAATCCTCCATGCGAATAGCTGCAACGATCCGTCCAGAAGGAGGGGGTGTTGTTGGCCCAATGGGTCCGGCAGAAGGTCCTGGTAGGATGGCAGAAGTCTGGGTGCATCTATCGCCAGTTCCAGGAGTTGTGGGAATCATGACTGGGTACCCCAGAACGGGGTCAGCAAGACCAAGTTGGCCATCTGGCGTCGTACTTGGAGTAGGACCCAAGGGATCATAGCAAACGGAGGGAAGGCGTAAAGGGGTGAGCCGGTCCAGTATAGCATGAAGGCATCCACTGCTTCCGCGGCCGGGTATGGGCGCCAGTTGTAGAACCAGGGAAGCTGGGTGTTGAGCCTGGAAGCGAAGAGGTCGAGGGTAAAAGGTCTCCAGAGGGACAAGATAGTAGAGAAATAAAAATATAAAAAAAATACAGAAAAATGCAAAAAAAATGAAAAATATTGTTTTTTTTTTACAGTTTTTGCAATAATAATGTGTGCATAATTAGTGCAGGTTAAGGAAAGTAATTAAAAATAAAATTTATTTATTTGTTCTGATTTACAGAATATATAATGTGTCTGGGATTTTAAGTTTTTTTTGGTAGTTACAGGTCACAAAGCACAAGGAGTAAAATAAACTTTTAATGTGGAGCGATTTTAGAATTTGGTATGTTTGTCTTGTAAGCTTAATAGCCATAAAAGAAAACAAAATTGCCACACAAAAGTATATATTTATATAAAGTAGACATCACGGGCTATTTACCTAAGGTTGTTTTGACACTTTCTACGTAGCCATTTCACCGCCAACCTCTGCTAAATATTGGAGTAAAATTGTGTTCTTTTTGGTTTTTGGCACACAAACTTATAACAGAGAAATTCTCGTGTATATTTTGTAAAGTTGGTGTGTGCTATTCCTGTACAAAGTTTTATTTTGTGTTCAGTTACATCTGCTGAGTAAAATGACACCCCCATTGTATGTCTTTTGCACTATTTCGTGAAGTTACAGTGCCATAGAGGATACCTGTCCTTTTCAGTATTCACAGTAGAATTTTGAGAGATAAATTTAATGAGCCTTAGCTTCCATTTGGGGTATTATAACAGTTTGACTGTTCAAAAAACCCCCACAAAGGCCTACCATTTGTAAAAGTAGACACTCCAGGGTATCTTATAAGGTGCATATTGTGCCTTAACATGCCCCCATTTTTTCACCAATATATGCCAAAGTATGTGGTAAAAAATAATTTTGTGCATTTTTTACATACGGATTGCATTTTTGCTGGGCGTTTTGTATATTTCATATGTGCCACTAAGTTCAAACCCCCAAATTATGCTCAGCTAAGTCTTCTGAGTAAAATGACACCCCATATGAATGTCTTTGGCACTATTTTGTGAAGCTACAGTGCCATATAGGAGACCAAGCCATATCCGTTTTTACTAAACTTTGAATTTTGACGCTGGGCCTATGTGCAATTTCCAAGCATCTTCGCAGGTTTTAAATTCAAACTACCCCACAAAGGCCTACCATTTCTTAAAGTAGACACCCCAGGGTGTTTCAAAAGGTATAGTTTGAACCTTAGCGTGGGATCATTTTTCCGCTAGCTTGTACCAGATGTAGTGGTAATAAGCGTTTTTTCTGCCTTTTTGACATACAAAGTGAGTTTGCACAGTATATTTTGCAAACCTTATGTGTGCTACGACTGTATAATACTTCATATGTTGCTCAGCTATGTTGGCTGAGTACAGCAATACCCCCGTATGTACCTTTGCCAGGTATGTGTGGACATCGGAGGGGCACATTTGGGACACAGCCATTCCAGTTTTTTTCAAACTTTGAATTTTTATGCTGTGCCTATGTCCCATTTTAGAGTATTTTACCAGGCTATATAATCCAAATTCCCCATAAAGCCATACCATTTCTTAAAGAAGACATCCCAGGGTATTTCAAAAGGCATATTTTGAACCTTAGCGTGGGATCATTTTTCCGCTAGCTTGTACCAAGTGTAGTGGTAATAAGCATTTTTTCTGCCTTTTTGACATACAAAGTGAGTTTGCGCAGCATATTTTGCAAACCTTATGTGTGCTACGACTGTATAATACTTCATATGTTGCTCAGCTATGTCGGCTGAGTACAGCAATACCCCCGTATGTACCTTTGCCAGGTATGTGTGGACATCGGAGGGGCACATTTGGGACACAGCCATTCCAGTTTTTTCAAACTTTGAATTTTTATGCTGTGCCTATGTCCCATTTTAGAGTATTTTACCAGGCTATATAATCCAAATTCCCCATAAAGCCATACCATTTCTTAAAGAAGGCATCCCAGGGTATTTCAAAAGGCATATTTTGAACCTTAGCATGGGATCATTTTTCCGCTAGCTTGTACCAAGTGTAGTGGTAATAAGCATTTTTTCTGCCTTTTTGACATACAAAGTGAGTTTGCGCAGCATATTTTGCAAACCTTATGTGTCCTATGACTGTATAATACTTCATATGTTGCTCAGCTATGTCGGCTGAGTACAGCAATACCCCCGTATGTACCTTTGCCAGGTATATGTGGATGTTGAAGGGGCGCATTTGAGACGCAGCCATTCAGTTTTTTTCTAACTTTGAAGTTTTACGCTGTGTCCATGTTCCAATTTGGAGTAGTTTAGACGGTTGGTTATTGAAACTTCCCCACAAACACATACTATTTATTAAAGAATACACCCTGGGGTAATTCAAAAGGCATATTTTGAACCTTGGCGTGGGATAATTTTTTCTCTAGTTTGTTCCAGGTGTAGTGGTAATGAGCGTTTTTAAAATGTATTTTTTTACTTTTTATAACTTTTTTACTTTTAAAAACTAGTTTTTAAACTTTTGTTTTGCTTATAAATTTTTTTTAAACTTTCCTAAACTTTCTTAAAACTTTTTTACAGATTTAACATTTTTCTAAGCTACCGTTACTAACTAGCAGTACGCAGCACTAACAGTAAATTCCCCATTTTCCCATAACTCCCACCCACCCCAGCTAGCAAAATATATAGTTATAAAATATTTAAATTAATTAATTAAATAAATTGAACCCCTGAGGGTTAAAAAAATAAATAAAAGTTAATCCTCAGGGGTTAAAAAAAATTAGATCACAGTATAATACTGTGATCTCTATTTGATCGCTGTAGGCAGTGATCGACTGGCAGGGAAGGGGTTAATTTTTATTTGGACTAGGTAAAGTGTGTTTTTTTTGTTTTTTTTTACTTAAATGTTATTAAAACATTTTTTTAAGCTTAATTTTTAACTTTTTAAAGTTTCTTTTAAAACTTTTTTTAACGTTAACCCCTAGTTAGCCTAACGCCAAATCCCCCAATTCCCCACTAACTTCCACCCACCCCAGCTATCTAAATATATAATTTAAAAATAATTTAATTAATTAATTTAATTAATTTAACCCCTGAGGGTTAAAAAAAAAAGAATTAACCCTCAGGGGTTAAAAAAAAAATCAGATCATAGTAAAATGTAATCCCTGCCAATTGATCACTGTAGTCAGTGATCAATTGGCAGGGAATGGGTTAATTTTTTATTAAAATGGGTAAGGGGGGTACACTTTAAATTAACTTTATTTATTTTTTCAGCAGGGGGCAGGATCATCACTGATCCGGCTCCCTGCACTTCACACAGAACCCGGAAGTGCAGGGAGCCGGTAGGTGAGTATACAGAGCACATGTGCTCGCTCTGACTTGTGGTCAGAGCGAGCACATGTGCTGGGCAGCCTGACCGGGTGCTCCCGGTATGCCTCTAATGCAGAGGCATACCGGGAGCACCATTAACCCCGCGATCGCGGCAATCCGGGGTTAATTTTACCGCGTGACGGACGAGGTCCGTCACCCGTCGTTAAGGGTCTCCCCTCTGTAACGGACCTCGTCCGTCACCCGTCCTGAAGGGGTTAAGAATTGTGATTCAGAACTAATAAGTGAGATGCAGAAAAAATAGTTTAAATGGAAGGGTTGCTGTTGTATAACTATGTACTACTGTCAGGGCAGAATTATGTAAAACACGTAACAAAGACAAACAGTAACAATGTATTACCGGGCCTTAGAATGGACTGAATTAACGTAATAGAATAAACAGTCATGAGCCGATCATATGCGGTCACACTAAGGTGCCGATCAGGAAGGAAACTATCAATGCCAGCAACCAGATTTCTTAGAAGATAGGTTGTGAAAAACCCTTAGAGTAAGTGCATACCAGCGCTTAGTTGCATAAGAAGTCCTGGAAAATTCTACCGTGGCTATCACAGTCATCTGACTTGAACCCCATATGAAATCTCTGGTGGGATTTGAAAAAGGTGGTTACAGCATACAAACCCAAGAATATTACTGAACTGGAGACCATTGCACAATGGGCTAACATTCCTTAGGAATTTGCAGTAGGTCATAACAGCAAAAGGGTGCTCTACTAAGTACTAAAGATGCATTATATGAAGCAATTGAATAATTCTGAGACTGGATTAGTTGCATTTTCAGTTGAATTTAGTGAAGCATTGAGAAGCATTCGATGTGTTGAGCTTTTTTAATTGATTTTGTTTGATTTGTTCATTACAAACAGCTGAGAGTTACAACTGTATGTGTGGATAATGTTTTAATTTGTGGATTAGTCATATGTGAGAAGTTAGGGTATGTGTGATGCCATTTGGTATTTATAGTGGGGCTAGAAGCAACATTTTGTTCTTGGACTCAGGCAGCAGAGTGGCATGGACCAGCCCTGGTACATTGCTCCATATCTGTAACATACTGATTTTTATAGGTCTGAAAAAAGGATTCTCATAGAAAATCATTACATCACCCTGATTGGATTCAAAGCAGAAATTGGTTGTGATCTGGAGAAGAAACTACAGACTGGTACATAAGGAGCTTATCTGCAGAAATAAAGACAGAAAAAAACATATGCACATGAAATATAAGGGGTCATGTTTAGCACATGGAGTCTCTTCAATGAGTACACACTGCACCTGCTACCTATACCATCATAGTAATATTAATATGTCTAGCAGTGCACTGAAAAGCTTGTGTTATTTATATTTATACATTGAATACTTATAAATAAAAGATAATATAATATAACATAATATAATATAAATAAAATTATAACATCTTCAGAAAACTCATGCCAAAGAACGATACTGATAGAAAATATGACTTTCCTTTGCAATGTATTGTTATGGCTTATTGATCCTAGGACTTGAAAATCACCTAGCTTATAATAACTAGCTATAATCACTTTTGTTATCCCACGACCTTATTGGATTTACAGTTGTAAAAGGCAATTGCCAACTCTCTGCTTAATATATTGATCTCAAGCCCTCTGCCCACAGGGACACTACTTGGCATACTACAATAGCGTAAACTGTGGTTTTAAAATGTACTTATATGCAAGCATGCATCATAATATCATATATTTCAAAAAGGACACTATTATAAGACTACAATGGCTAAAAAATAATATGGCAAGTGCAGGTCTTGAATATCTGTTAGAAAGGGTTCTCGATCCAACCTTAAATAGACAGTTTAGGCACCATAACAACTTCATCTAGATTACGTTGTTATGGTGCCCGAAGGCTCCCGGGTATACTCTTATCTCAAGGAGTTAAACCATTCTCGAATAGTTTAAACCCAAAGTTCTCCACAGTTTGAAAACTTTAACCCCTTAAGGCAAGAGTGCAACAGGGGGCCTCCTGGTACCATAACAACTTAATTTAGATGAAGCTGTTATGGTGCCTAGAGTGTTCCTTTAAAGTATCTCAAATATCATGTAATATCTTATCTTAAAGTAACTATTGTTTTACAGGTCAAACAAATATGAATTTTGCTGAAATATATAAAATAACAAAATTCCATGTGCCCAGTAGTGTTTATTCACTAAACAAGTAACTCTACAGAACGTATAATAGAATTTTAAATTGCAGACCAAAACAGTTGGAATGAAAAGATTCCCCAACTTAGCTATTTTACAGCCCTTTTTCCTGAAATATGCAATTAAACTTGTCGGTTTCCTCCATTTACTGGTCTAGGGAAAAAAAATGCATTACTTTTCAAAAGTAAAGGTTTTGTGAGTATTGTAATAAGTTGCATCGGAATAGTTAAGTTCCAAACTAAGCAATTTTATCAGCATTTTACAGATCATTTCTACACTTTCTACAGCTTGCAAAATATTTTGTGTAGCTGTTTTTGCAGTTATCTCTCACATAAGCTTTGAGAGACTTGTTCTTATATGAGAAAAATGGTTAGTATTATCCTATTGTTGTATTACAGTTTTACCATGAAAAAGCAATATGTGCCTATGTAAGGGTGTTGTTTCTATTAAAAACGGCAAAGATAAATTTGCAGTACAGATTTGCGTTCTTTAGAAGAATCTTATTAGATTAGATTAAAATTATTATTTTCACATATAAATCACAGACATATGCTAAGTATTACACATTCAAAAGTTTCAGCGTGAAAGTGTAGTACAAGTATGTGGTAGGATTCTTAATTAGGTCATCTTCAATATCCCGGCGTACACCATATGTTCAGTCAGATACAACTTATAACTTCCAAACTCAGAAAAAAATAAGCTCACCTTTATATTTTTATATAGATGTGATTTATTCACAAACATTAAAAATCTAATTTGATATAAATATTCAGCTGGTAAAAATCAATATTTTACTGAAAACTATTGTCCTGACCATAACTTTATACTTTAGGTACCATGTACAGATAGTGTAGGTTTGATTAAGAATGTTCGAGAAAACGTTATACATCCCAAAGAAGAAATGGTAGTGTAGAATAAATTTCATTATATTGAGTATCAATGTATCCTCTTAATTAAATAAGACCTACAGGTCTTTTTTTACTGAAAATGGGCTATAATAACACTTTCTTTTGAGAACTATTATTTTGGTCATCATACGAAGAAACATGCAAAAACCTGTTTGATCACATTTAATAGGGGGAGTTAAAAGTTAACAAGTAGATCTAAATCCAAAAGTGTGGTCCTCTTTTAAAAAAAGAGGTCACAATTCAGACTTTAACTCTAATTCACTTGACACATTAATAAGTAGGCATTTAAAAATTCTACCACCAGCAAAAGATTCACAAACAGCAAGGTCTTCAAAATTGGTTTGAGGGAACCTGTTCTCTGTATAATGTTGTGTTACTTTTCTGATATAGGTAAGTAAATATTTGTTTGTTACTTGAAGCTCTATCAGCCTTTGGTTAAGGGCTTTAACTCTTTATGAAAGCAACGTGACTTGACCATTAACGAAGCAGGTCCATTTATTTTGTTATGCTGGGTTGGGGCTCTCTGAAACTCAAGAACAATGACATTTCCAAACTCTTTGCCTTGAATATGAAATTTGAATTTTATAAATGACTTAAGGGAGATCCCAAATTAACAGATTGACAAATCTTTAAAGATTGTAAATTTTACAAGATGAGTCAAAATACAAAATTGGATACAACACTATTAAATCAACCAACATATGTGCCAGCACAGTCCAGAAAACAAAGCAGGATCAAGAGGTGCACAGGTAAAAATGTGAAAAGTTTTAGTAATAGTGAGCAAATGGATCTAATATATGGGCATCAGACATTTGAACTTTTGGGTATACATAGCTATTGGAATTCTAATTGGGGAAGAGTAGAAGGACACATTTCATAGAGTGGGTGTTAATATTAGACTTGGCATTTGTTTTTGGAAGAAAAGAAAATAGGCTTGTTCGTCCATTCGTCCAAATGGTACATTAGAAGAATGAACTAATCGCTTGAATTTGACATTTTCATTTAATTTGCTCATGAGTTTATTTATGTCAAATTGACACCCTTATGTAGAATTACCAATCCATATTTAAGAGTATCACTAAATCACCAAATTAGGGAGCTGTTGTGTTCAGTTGATAGGCCCCTAAATTGGTATCCTGAAAAATGGCAATTCCACAAAAGGTTACCAAATCAGAGAACAATATACTAAACAGCTGAAAGACCAAAACGAGAAAAAGGGGTTTTCATAATTGTGATCTTTCAGCTGCTTAATAGACAGCTCCATAATTCGGTATCCTTATGTGGAGTACCAAAAAAGAAAAATATACCTAATAAACAGCTCCCTAATTTGGTACTCTAAAATATGAAAATCCCACATAAATGTACCAATTAAGCCCTTTTCCTAATTTTGAATGTTCAGTTTCTTAGTAGATAGCGCCCTAACTTAATATGCTTATAAAATATGGAGCTATCTACTAAACACAGCTCTCGCTCTAATTTAATAAATTTAATATGCTTAAATATGTCAATCCTACATAAGGGTACCAAATTAGGGTCTTCTCTACTTTCTAAATCAAAAAAAGATTTTCTGGAAATCACAGCATTCCATTCATTAAAATAGAAATTCTGAGCTGAAAATATTGGACGAATTTCATCTGACAAATCAACTGATGGAGGAAATTAGTTTCAGATGAAACACAATTTATTTTCAACAAATTGATTCAGACAAACTAAAAAATTCCACCTTGCCAAGTTTGTTAAAGTCCAACTGATTCCAACTGGGTCTAACTTGATATCATTCTAAGAGATTGTAACTTATCTTGTGATTACATTGCTGCATGGTTCTTTGGGTACAGATTGCCATGAAAACTCAGTTGGTTAATAAGTACCTAAGAGAGGATGGAGCAAGGCTTCCATCTCCTAAGTAGTTAATTGTTTTGGAGTTGCTATTTTGCGTGACTTTACTAAGCTCAATTATGGCACAATCTTACTCATGATTCATCATCCGCTTCCCTTGTCGGTCCCTTCAATGAATTCATGTTTCCTCAAAGATCAAAATGTAAAAGTCAGTCAATCATTAAAGTTTACAAAGGCAATTTTAACTGACTGAATGGAGCAAGCCTAAAGAAAAGGCCTTTAAATATATAACAAGTTATGTCATTGTAAATTACATTACAAATTAGAGTAATCACAACCTGCTTTAATGCATTGCTTTATTTCCAACGCAATGTATTCAATTTTCATGTGGGTGTTTAACAGTAGGAACAAATCAGAGCATAATTTTACACAATCAATGTAATTCTCTATATTTCATAAATGATTGACAAATTAGTAACCTTTCGACTATTTTATAGATTGGTACATCTAAATGTATTTTTTGGGAAAAATAAATAAATATAAATATATATATATATATATATATATATATATATATATATATAAATTTTTATCATTACACATTTTGCTCTTGTGTTCTCTTAACCTACTGAAAAATAATTTGCATTACTGTAGCGAGTACTTAAACATGAAAAATAATGAGATACCTAGTAAAGCTTTTATTCACTAAAAATAGTGAGTAAATCATGTAGACATTTTGTTCAAACCTCTGTCATTTAATTTATCACAAACACTGCAATGTAATAAAGAATGTGGGATGATGTCAGGCATGCCAGAAAATATTGTATTTTAAATAGGGGTCTTGTCATAAAAGCTCCATTTGTATCGACTTCCAAAAACCTGAACAAGAACAGCAAGTTGGCTATTTGCCAAGTTTTACATTTTAACTCCGTTACTCAGTTTGGGGATTTAAGGTTGTGTCTCAACATTAAAAGTTAGTGAAAAAACGGTTACAAATAATTAAATATTTCTAATTACATCCTGC